GGCTGGGAGAACAGGGACGGTGCGAGGTCTCTTCCCACAGCCCTGGGGGCATTTGGGGTCCCCTCCCCATCCCCTGGGGCCCCAGGTTGCTTGGGGTCCCTTTCCTGGGGTACAGGAGCTCCCTTTCCCAAGGTAGTTGGGGTCCCTTCCCTGATCCTTGGGGTGTATGGGGGTCCTTTCCCTGCTCCCGTGGCCTTAGGGTGCATGGGGTCCCGTCTCCACAGCCCTGGGGGGGTTTGGAGTCCCCTCCTCATCCCCTGTGGCACCGGAGTGCATGGGGTCCCTTCCCTGGGGTGCAGGAGCTCCCTTTCACAAGGTGGTTGGGGTCCTTTCCCCACTCCTTGGATGCATGGGGGATTCTCTCCATCCTCCCCATAGCCCTGGGGTGCATGGGGTCCCTTCCCCATGGCCCTGGAGGGGTTTAGGGTCCTCTCCTTGTCCCCTGTGGCACCAGAGTACATGCGGTCCATTCCTTGGGGTGCAGGAGTTCACTTTCCCAATGTGGCCAGGGACCCTTCCTGGGTTCTTGGGGTGCCCAGGGGTCCTCTTGCTGCTCCCATGGCCCCAGGGTGCATGGGGGTCCCCCCTGTCCCGCCCCAGGCTCTGTTCTCTCCCTTGCTGGAGGCCTGTGGCCAGGCTGGGCAGGGTGCTGGTAGCCCAGTTTGGAACTGGTGTCAAGCCTATGACCCTCCTTGTGCTGGGCACAATTTCTCCCATCCCTGCAGTATCTCTATTCTTGCAGCCCCCCATCACCTCCTTTCCTCTGCAGGGATCTACCTGGCGGGGTCCTGAGGCCCCTTCTGGACCCTCCAAGCCCCCCCTGGGCTTCCCCTTGGTTGTGTGAACTGGAAACACTGGATGGAGGAGGGGGTGTGCCGCTGGTGGAAGCCTCCTTCCTCCTCCTCTCCCTGCTCCGTGGCTGTCACCGTGTCCCCTCCTGCTGCCCCGCGGTTGGTCCTCTCTGTACCCTCCCCGTGCTGCGTAGAGGGCAGGAGCTGCTCTTTTAATAAACACTTTTATTTTCTAATAACCCTCCTGCTGTCTCCCACCTGCTTCCTCCTGTGACGCCCATTCCCGGAGTGTCTGGGCTCCTCCTTGAAAACAGGGCACAGCAAACGTGCCACTGCTCTCTAGAGGCACCAGTGTGGCGAGGCTGGGGAAACCGAGGCAGGGAACCGGCACTGCTTGGCCGAGCCCTCTCCTCGCACCCCTGGGGGCTGCTGCCCACCCCCGGGGCAGGCAGCGGGAGCAGAGGGGTGGGCAGAGAGACGATCCCCGCAGCAGACACCTGCGCCTCAGGGGAGAGGATGGCTCTGAGCTGGCTCTGGAACAAGGTACCGGAGGTCTGGGTGTCTCTCTAAGGGGTCTGGTGGTCTCTCCAGGGTGGTTCGTGGCTCTTTGTGGTGCTGTGAGGTCTGAACCGGGGCTACTGGGCATCAGGATGTGGCCACCGCCGGTGGGCAAGTGGTGGCCAGGGGCTCAATGGGGAACCCCCCATTGGCGCTTCACCCCCCTGTCTTGGCGCTTCATCTCCGAGGGTGAGCAAAGCGGGCTGGGCTCCTTGCACCCGGGACCACGTCACGATGCCCCGACCTGGTGATACCTCCTTGCACCCGGGACCACGTCACGATGCCTCGACCTGGTGATACCTCCTTTGGTCACTCGCCCACGCCGGTGGCTCCTCGGGGGGCCGCATGCTTCGCGCCACCCATCCCCCAGGCTTCGGGGCCGCTCCCTGTGTTTTCTATCCCAAAGCGGCACAGCCCCATCCCAGACCCGGGGTTTTATTGCTTCCCGCACGTTTGTCAGTACGGTTGGCCTCTGCCCCGCACAATGGTGCCCTTCCCAGCCGGGCCCTCCCTGCGTGTCATCGAGCAGCTCCGGCTGCTTCCCAGTGCTGTGGGGTGGGGGCATCTCCGGGTTCCGGGTGCTCCGCGCTCTGGCTCTGTGGGGATGGATGCGGTGCCCCAGCTTGGGTCATCCCTCCTTGGGGGATACCCAGTACTGAACCCCACTGTCCATCTCAGGATGTTGGGGTTTCTGGTACCAAACCCTGCTCCCCATCTCAGGGCATCTCTCCTGGTGCAGGTGCCTGGGGGGTGCAGGTGTGCCTGGTGCTGAACCCCACTCCTCGTCTTGGGGCATCCCTCCTGGTGGGGGTGCCTGGGGAGGGTGGGGGATGCCCAGTGCTGAACCCTGCTCCCCGTCTTGGAGCATCTCTTCTGGTGTGGGGTGCCTGGAGGAATGTGGAGGTGCCCAGGGGCCTTGGGGGGGTGCCCAGTGGTGAACCCTGCTCCCCATCTTGGGGCACCCCTCCCAGTGTGGGTGTCTGGGGGGGGGTGGAGGTGTCTGGTACCAAACCCCACTCCCCATCTCAGGGTACCTCTTCCAGTGTGGGTGCCCAGGGGGATGTGGAGGTTCCTGATACTGAACCCCGCTCCTCTTCTCTTGCAGAATGTGTCCCTGCGGTGCTACAGGCTGGAGCTGTGGGCTCTGGTGGCCGTGGGGCTCCTGGGGCTCTGTTACCTCTTGTACAACGATGACCGCCTGCAGCTCTGCGTGGCCCCTGAACACAGCCCCCCGCCCAGCTCCCAGCCACTCCCCCTACTCTCTTCACCGCCCCCTCGGGCCCTGCCCACCATCGCCCCGTGCGTGGCCAATGCCTCGGTGCACAAAGTCCCCGGTTTCGCCAAACTGCCCGGCCATGTGCAGGACTTCATGCGCTACCAGCACTGCCGGGCCTTCCCGGCGCTGCTCAGCATCCCTGACAAATGCAGGGGGCCCGAGGGGTCCCGCAACATCTTCCTCCTCTTGGCCATCAAGTCATCACCAGTGAACTACGAGCGGCGGGAGGTGATCCGTAAGACCTGGGGGCAGGAGAGGACAGTTGAGGGAGTCTTAATCCGCCGCGTCTTCCTCGTGGGGGTGTCCCCCAACCCCTGGGATGCCAAAAAGCTGAACTGGCTGGTGGAACTGGCTGCGGCAGCTGGAGCAGGAGGAGTATGGGGACGTGCTGCAGTGGGACTTCAAGGACACCTTCTTCAACCTGACGCTGAAGCAGGTCCTCTTCCACAACTGGATGAAGCAGCATTGCCCTGGCGTCCGCTTCATCTTCAATGGCGACGACGACGTCTTTGTCAACACCGACAACATCGTCCACTTCGCCATGGCCTCCCAGGGCGCCCAAGAGCAACACCTGATGGTAGGGGATGTCTTGAGCAACACCGGCCCCATCCGCAATCCCAGGAGCAAATACTTCATCCCCACGCAGCTGATGGCCTCAGAGCGCTACCCCCCGTACTGTGGCGGTGGTGGGATGCTGATGTCTGGCTTCACTGCTCGCGTCATCACTCAAAAAGCACGGGACATCAAACTCTTCCCCATTGACGACGTCTACTTGGGTATGTGCTTGGAGAAAGCGGGGCTCCTGCCCATGTCCCACACTGGCATCAGGACCTCTGGCGTGAGGGCGCCGGCCAAGGTCGACCCCTTCAACCCCTGCTACTACCGTGAGCTGCTGCTGGTGCACCGCTTCATGCCCTATGAGGTAGCGGTGATGTGGGGGGCCATCCACGACCCCCACCTGCACTGTGGCAAGAGGGTCAGCATCTTCTAGGGTGGCCATGGGGGGCCGAGAACTGGGTGGGGGGAACATGAGGGCACCCTCAGGGCTGCTCAGGATGTGGCTCCCCACACATTCCCC